GAGTTTAGGTTCTGTTTATTGCACTTATGATTCAATGCAATAAAACAAACAAATTAAAAAAGTAACAGATCATTGTAATACTTGGTTTATTTACATAATGAGTTTAATTGCTGGATGTCTGAGCTGCTGGCTTTCAGAAACTGCGGCCCCCTGAGCAGTTTTGTTGAATAGCCCTGAACTAAATCAAGTTACAGAAAAACAAATTAATCTCCAGCAAGTTAGTTTACGGAAAGTAATCGACCTCACAATCTAGTGTGTGTATTTAAAATGTAGTGTTTTGACAACAGCAGTGTGTAAAAGTTAAAGGCGTCCAGAGGACCAGATTGAACTTTTTTAGATTTTTCTACCTGGATTATTGAGCATGCATCAGGATACTAAAGGCGTCACGTTTGTTCTGTAGTGGGCCCAAAGTGAAACACTGCGGCACGTGCAACAAATGTGTGGAAGGCTTCGATCATCACTGCAAATGGCTGAACACCTGTGTGGGTCGAAGAAACTACTGGTGAGACACTGTTTAGCATGAGCAAATCTTCTCCCTTCATCTGATTTTTTTTAAATTTTATTTTTATTGACAAATAAAACCCAGCATGCCACGTACCAAACAGGATTTGTGTTCTCTTCAGGTTCTTCTTCGGGGCACTTGTCTCTGCGACCGTCAGCATCTTTGTTCTCATTCTTGTCATCTTGTTCACGTTTATCCAGCATTACTTGAATCCACACAGCCTGCGAACGGCGCCGCAGTTTAACAGTGAGTTACCCACGTTTGAGCAAATGGAACAAAGGCTTTCTTTATATTGATATCCTTTAATTGTATTTTTTCTCAAAGCAATGCTGGGGAATACAACGTGGCTGGTGTTTTTACCGCTGGCGCCTGTGAGGACAACCGCAGCCGGTTTCCTCATATTAACGTTCATAACCGTCATCCTGAGCGCCGTCTGCCTGCTGCTGCTCTGTCACCTGCTGGCCTTTCACCTATACCTCTGTGAGTGACGGCTTCTTACACCTCCTGTCTGGACTTCTTGTGATTTCTTCATATCTTTTCTTTTTATTTTACAGTTTATAAAGGTATAAGCACATTTGATTTTGTACGGATAAAACGCCAAAAAGAAGCTAGTAGCAAAGAAACTAAAAATACTTGCAAGTCCAAAACAAATTGCAACGCTGCAAAGGTGAGAGCTTTCTTTTGTCTCTTGTTGTCATTTATCTGTTCATTTTCTTTTCTGTGTAAAAAAAAACGGTTTGTTTTTTCTTTAGAAGAGCCAAGAGACCTCAATTAATTGTGAGCCAGCAGTATCACAAAGTTCAAGGTAACGCTGCTCTTGCTGGAATCTCTTAATTATTTTTTTTTTCCAGAGAAGTAATGTTTCTGCTTTTGTGCAGTTTCTGTAAGTTTGGCAGCAAACGTCTTCTCAGCAGCAGACTATCAGACTCCATATGCACAGAGGTGAGCGTGTCCAGTTCCCGATTTATAAATGTTTACATGCACACCTTGTTAATTTTGCGTTAGCATTGCACATTATTGTCGTTTGTTTTGTTTAGCTGGAGAACTTTAAGAAATCAGCAGAAAAGGAGAATAATTTTCATTACGGGACAGAAATTCCCACAGAAAATGAAACCAGTGAGTGTCTGACTTGCCTTTTACACCTAAACAAGCTTTAAAATCTGTTCATCTCATTTAAATCAACTTGATATATTTTTGGGATACCAGGACAAACACCATGTGTTTGATGGCACTGTTCTGTGCAGTTTTTTGGCAAATAAAAACAGTTTTTGTGTGTTTTGTGTCATTTAGGGGAAATATCGATGAGTGTCATCACAGGCTGGGGCTCTGACAACGATGAGGAAGATCGGGCGGCTGGTGAGAAATCCATTCCTGTGGAGCAGGATCCTCTGGGCAGCTCAGCCATGCCTCGGGATCGATCTCAGCAGTAGATCAGGACAGGCTGGTTTCAGGAACAGTTTTCAGTCCTGGTCAGAATTATTGGCCCATTTGAACATGAAACACAAAATAACTTCATAAATGCAAACACGTCCGTTTTGTATAAACTAACAGCATATACAACTAAAACAAAAGCAGCATGTTTTTTAAACTATAAACTGACTCGAATGCCTCATCTCAGATGAATTTTTATATATAAAGAACACATTTAGCTTTAAATGTCTCTGATTCGACTCTTGAGACAGAAAATCAGCTGTTTTTAAAAAAAAGAAAAAAACAATATTTCATTCATTATTTACTCATATATTCACTTTTGGAGATATTTAAAGGTTTTGATGTTAAATTTCAGCTGTGCCAATAAGTCTAACCAGCTTTTGTGTTTTAAGTTGTTTCAAGAAACTTGAAGGTTTTAATTTTTTTGTATTTTTGGATAAATGAATTGAGTTCAACACACCATTTACCCTCAAACTGAATAAAAACTTGTTTTTTTTCCAAATTATACTTTGGCATCTAACAGTTCATTTTTTTATTTTATTTTATTTTTAGGTAAATTGTTGACAGTGATTGAATGAATGAGTTTGTTTTTCCTGAAGTCCAGCTCCGCTGTTGGATTAGTCTTTATTAAGCAGCTTCAGTCAGACTGATGGATGTAATATTGATCGTTTCTGAAAGTCGCCGGTGTTTACGACAACATTTCTTAGCCCTGGAGGACAAATCTGATTATAGAATAAAGAATATGACTTTAAATGTTCTTCTTTTGCATTTTTTTTACACTGTTATAGAAATGTTGAAGTTTAATCTCCACATGTTACTTTTCATTTGTTTTCTGTTTCAACAAAATGTAAAATCAGTTTGGTTTAAAGGAAGACATTTTTGGCTCAAAAGATTCAAGGCTGCAGAAAGTGAAACTTAAAGCAGAGAAATGTATTCACTGAGAACAGAATGTCTTTTTAAGTTTGACCAGCAGAATAATTCAGGATCTCTTTGTAGACTTTACAAGAGGAAGGTCTGGATTTAGAGACGGAAGCAGGAGAACAGATGGAGATGAAGATGGTGCGTTTGTTTTATGCTGTCAAATGTGAGAAAAAAAAGTTTCAAGCACTTTTACCATCACAGTCTTCTGTTTGTTTATGTACCAGTAATCATTTTTAAAAATATATAAATCGTTGATTTTTGTGAGCTGAATCTTGTGATCCATATGTAAAAACTTAAAAAAATTATCCTTTGATCAACCTGGATCCAAAAGGTGGAGCTGCACCGTGATGATGGGTGGTGCTCACACCAAATGTTTAGTTGTTCTACACTGCTCACATGAAAGAATGCCTGAAAATAAGACACAGAGTGACAGATTGGAAAGAATGACTTATTTAATTTATGAACATCTTAAGACAACCTTGGAAAAATGTGAAAATAAATTTTATTAAATTAATCTTCAACTGGAGTTAATTTTTTTTATAAATTTATCTGATTCAAGTTGATTGCAATGTTTTAAAGAAAAAACACCTGCTAATAATCAAATATATATGTGATAATTATAATGCATGTTTATGGGGAAGTCACTTTTTTTTTTTTTTTTTTTGCATTATATACTAAACTGGAATAAAACTTGTGGGTTAACCTGATCAGTTACCAGAAGGCTGTAAATGTTTCCTGAACTGGGCATTTTTTAGTTTTGACTCGAGTGCTTCATAATCTTTTCTGCAGTTGAGGAACCACGGCATAAAAATAACTTTTTACATCCTAAACTACATCATGAAGGCAAGAAAGTCAAAAATAATATTTAAACCTGCAGAAATTCATGCCTGTTTTATGATCAGGGCTATTTGAAGATACAGACCTACTTTATTTATATTATTACCATACCAAAGCATTTTATTTATATCCTTTATTATATATCGTTTTATAATGTAGCATGTTTTTTATTTTGTTTTATATAACTTCTTTTATATACTTTTCATTGATATGCTTTCATATGAATGTTTATTATGTGTACGTTTTTTTGTCTCTTGTAAATGATTCCTCGTGACTCAATGAGACGAACCTGTAGAAATAAAGGTTGAATGAAATTCATAAAGGGCTCAGAAACAGCAACAAGGCCAACCAAATAATAACACAATAACCCAAACAAGAACACAATATAAAATACGTATAAATCAAAAGAAGTCAAAAATAAGAAACGGTTCAACTCGACTCACGGTCAAAGAATAAAAGTGTTTTTAAAAGCAGCGCAGTGACAAATCCTGCTACAGTTTTGGACCAGCAACAGAGAAGCGTCACTGGTATTGATCTATTTATCTGGAAAAACTTTTCATGTTTGAAGGGATTCAAAAATCTTTCCAGTTTTTATGGTATTATGTGATCAGATAGATTCTGTAACAAAAACATGACAGAGTTTGTGTTTGTAGAAGACAACTTAAAAAATAAAACTGAACCAAAAGGGACATTTCAACTAATTAGGTGTTATTTTCCTGATGGACAGATTTTCAGTGGATTCTTTACATGACAAAATAAATCTAAGACCAAAGAACGGAGGAAATGAACCTCAGGACTTCACAACAACAATGTTCTTTACAGACTGTATTTAATTTAAACTTAGGGTTGTAAAAAAAGTGTTTACTGACATCCTTTAATAATATCAGTGATGATGTGTAATCAAACTTTAACCACACTGTGGTGCAATTGAAGCATCTTCAGCAGATGTTCACATCTTAAAAAAAAAAAACATTGTTCTACTTCCACAAAGGATCACTACTCTGAGTGTGTTTTCACGACTTCCCTTCATCTTTGAGTTGTTCGTCTGAAGCGCTAGTGATACGAAACCTCAGAACAGAGAGATTACGTAATCTCAAGCCCAGTCCTGATTGTATAACGTGTAGGATTCAGAATACATGGAATATTTGAGTTTTGATATTATTATTACTGGAAAGACAACAGATTATTTAAATAGACCCTGAGGAAAATTCCACGAGACCACACACAGTCCATTTTATCACCAGAACCTCGAGCTGGACTTCTGACGATGTCCATCTGGACTCAGTTTCATCCTTGCTGTATGACAAACTGGCCTTTGTTGTTTTGCTTTCCTTTTTTGAGTTTGTTTATTGATATCCTTCGGGCAGAACCGTGCTTGTGATTAGTTCAGATCTTTTGATGTGGGCTTCTGTGGAAAAAGTTGTGAACAATCAATATCTTACCTGTTATAGATAGCTCTTTGAACAACACCAAAGTCCATGCTCAATAATCCAGGTAAAAAAATCCAACAATGTTCAGTCAGGTCAACTGGTCTGGTTTTGAACCAGTTTGACGTGACTGTTGACGATGGAGAGGGCGGGCACCGGAGGAGAGAGCATGCCCCAGAAGCCATCTTTGGCACCAACATAACTGTTTTTTTTGTTGTTGTTTTTTTTTTTCACTTTGGCGTAAGCTGTTGGGAGAGGATCAGTTTTGTTTGGTATTTCCTCAGACTGATGAAGCATTCTGGACGGAGGGCAAAACGTCTCAGCACACAGAAAAAAAAAGAAAGAAACCACCCAGATGACGTGAGTGAACACACTTTGAACAACCTCAGTTTGAAGAAAGGCATTTCATTCTGACTGAAGTGACAAACTAACAGATCGTCTGAATGAAGCCAAGAGCAACACGGCTCGCTCGTGAACATTTCTTATCAAGCGATTGCTGTTGTAGAAACCTTTGCACTGCCGTCTTTTCTGCATTACACTGTTATTCCAGACCACCAGTGTTCAAATGATGATTCCAGGACAACAAAAAAGCACACTGTTGGTATTTAATAAGGAATATACTTGGATAATAATGTCGGGGCAGACAAAGAACGTCAGCATCAGAGTTCACAACATCGCTGACATATTTAAGGAAACTACTCTATGCTACAATAAATGGCTCTGGATTTTCTTACCATCCATCCATTTTCTTTACCCACTTATTCCATTTTGGGTCACGAGGGTCGCTGGTGCCCATGTCCAGCAATCACAGTGCGAGGGGCGGGGTACACCCTGGACGGGTCGCAAGTCCATCACAGGGCCACACAGAGACAAACGAGACAAACAACCATTCACTCTCTCACTCACACCTAGGGACAATTTAGAGTTACCAATCAGCCTAACATGCATGTTTTTGGACTGTGGGAGGAAACCAGAGTACCCGGAGAAAACCCACGCATGCACGGAGAGAACATGCAAACTCCACCCAGAAAGGCCCCTGGACCGGGGTTTGAACCAGGGACCTGCTGGCTGAGAGGCAGCAGCTCTACCAGTTGCGCCACCGTGCTGCCCCAGGATTTTCTTACCATCAGTTTCCAAATATTGTTGCGAAATATTAGACATTAATGTTAATTTGTATTCATATTTGCATTGACACTAGCAGCTGCTGAACTTTATCCAACTTATAAGTGGGCCCAGTTGATGAATGTAAGGATTGCTCTGTTGATGTATTAAACTCTACAGACACGTTTGATAAACAGTTCAAGCCAGGACTGAGAGAGGTTGAAGCCAGCTGTTGCATCTTTCTGCCGCCAAACGAAGTAGTAACAGAGGCAAAATGGTCAACACAAGAATAGGCAAGCCGGCTTTGCAGAATGTACGACAACCCAGCCGCAAGATTTAAAAGCTTAAACAAGAATAAACAGAGGAGAACTGATGATGACACACAACTTTGCACTTTGTTAAAAAAAAAAAAAGATTGCTTAACCATAAAGATGATCGCTAAACTGAGTTCATCTGCTATGTTTAAAGATAATAGGGAGGTGTCTGCGACACGTTTTGATTTGCATTAATCCACGCCTCTTATAGTTCTAAACTTGTTTAATTTCTGGAGGCTCACATTAACACCTTCCGGGTCTTGATCACACCCACAGTAGTCTATTATAGACATATTACTGTTGCCATTTAAAAATATCACATATTTTGTTTTGAGTTGGATAATAATAATAATACAGTCTCTATTCCTTCACCTGGCGTTAAATTTCAATGTCCATGTGTTGGTGATGTTTCACAAGAAGCCAATTATCTCCCGTCTTAAGATACTCTCTCAACATATTAGGGGTACAATGGACCAAACCATTGTTAGGGTAGTGAGGGGGCGGGGCCTAATTTTAAAAAAAGTTTGTAAATTACTTTTGTTTGAATAAATTCTGGGAAAAAGGGGGCAGATATCATAAGATTTATTCTTCTTCTGCTGCCTTTCATTAGATTTTTTTATTGTATATATATATTTTTTTTTTTTGTTTGTTTTCTATTGTATATAGTTATTTTATTTTTAATGAAATGAAAAATTTTCTAAAAAAAAAGTGTAAATGGAGCGTTCAGATAAAAATAATGGTGGATATGCTCTCTGTTTCTTTGTATTACTTAAAACTATAATTTACGCCAAAGATTTATTAGGAGAAGACAATCTCTGTATTTCTAATAGGCTATAAATGGATCGCTGGTTAGTAGGAACAGAAGACCTTTGATCATTTCAGTATAGCTCATAATTTATATTGCGAGACGCCACAATAAATTAATGTGTCTGAGGAATATTTTTGTTTGATTTAGTCGAGTTATTTATTCAACGAATGTCTTCTGCTTGTAAACTTGTATTCCGTTAGAAGCTTTTATTCTTTTAAAGCTGCTATAAATCAGTGACAACTATCCACGAGCACAGTAAAGTATGGATACAAGCCAGTTTCAATCTGTCTTCAACATGGTTTGAACAATCTTTAGAATGAGGAAAACTACACTCATATTTGATGAACACTGACACTCACTCACCATGAGTCACCCTGCAGAGTGAACACATTAAAAGTCTTTATGAGATACTGTAGCTGAGTTTTTGTTTGCACGTTTCCATGCTACACTGTAAGTCAGAGGTTTTTCCTTTTGGACTTTATCACCATGCATGGATGCATATCAGATGTTTAGCAACCTATTCTTATAGTTAAGGTGCAGAGTTGGGGTGGGGGTGGGGGTGTGGGGAAGACATTCATTGCATTTGCTATAGTTTCTCCCACTGGTCTACCTGGTGAACACCGTAGCAAATATTTAATTTTCATTTCATTTTACAATACATTTGATTGTACTTTAACCCCCCCACCCCCTAAAGTGCTCATACAAAAACTCCCTGTTTACTGTCTGTAAATTGTACCTCATTTTCCCCAATGGGAGGCTACTAAAGGATGTATCTACAACAGGTAAGATATTGACTGCTCACAACCATTCCACTGAAACATCACTTCTAAATATCTGAACTATCCCTTTAACGCCTGTCTTCTGAACACTGAATAAGACGCTCCACAGTCCACAGCTCCATCACTGTTCACAACAACAACAACAACAAGGAGACAGGAGGACAACAGATCGGCGGCAGCCAATCAGCGACCTGGTTTCTCTTCAGCATCTCACGGGGAGGGAGGTGAGGGGGGGTTCGGTGAGGACGGGAAGCTTTGAGCAGAACAGATCCGAGCGGGGAGGAAAGACACCCGAAGGCTCCTCCAGGAGGAAAACTATGATTTGAAATCGACAAGGAGCTGAAGGATTACGTCATCAGGTGATTATTTCCATGTTTGGCAGAATGGAAACGTTTTGTTCGTTTTCGTTTGGACAAACACAAACTGCGGATTCCAGGTTGCATGCATTTGTTTTGCTCCGATCAGGTGTTTTGTTTCCGCACACGTGCATTTTATGTGCATTTTTATTATTTTTGCAGTAAATGTGCGCCGACAACAACAAACGAGTCACGTGGGCTCTTGTGGATCTTTATGTAACAGGTTCTCTGCTCTCATTGCAGCCATATTCAGTCATATAAACTGTTCTCAGCGCGTGCAGCCAAAGACAATCGTGTGTGTGTGTGTGTGTGTGTGTGTGTGTGTGTGTGTGTGTGTGTGTTTTGATGGATTGATTAATTAGAGCTGCAACCTTTGAGCCAAACTGCTGAGTTACATAATCCAGCATGGAAAAGATTTATTCTCTCAATAAGCAGCTTCCTCATGAATGGAGCTGTGGGAGTGTAGATGGAGAACAGCCTGTTCCTCAAATTAAATGCATGGATTCATTAATTAATTAGATTCAGTTTCTACAGTGACATCGTTTTTTCACGTGAAGTGTTTGTGTCTTCTCACCTCTGGCTCTGCAGATTTGCTCTCCTCCAAAGGTTGGATTAGATCTGCCTGATATGAAGTTGCCCCAGTTTTTACAGCTCAAGGTTCAAATGAACGCATCCAAGAGCCTCTGGGTTCTGTCACCGACAATTAACCTCAGCATATTCTGAAAATCATCATGTTTTGTTCAGGGATGGTTAAAGAAACAAGTGCAAAGAGAAAACAGGATGTTTACATCCACCATGTTGGTGTGTGCTACTCTGAGCTCCTTTTAGAACATGGAGACGTATGTTTTACAACCTAAAATTAAACTGCAGAAAGAGCATTTCTGCAGAAATGCAGTGTGAACGCTGAGAGCCAAATGACTTTGCTAAAAATCTGTTGAAAAAACTGCAACTTGTTAAACAAGCAAAACTAACAAAACAGTATGGCATAAAAGTTAAAACTACACTAAAGGTCAAATAGCAACACAGTAACTAACAAATAAAACAGCTACAGCTTAAAGTTAACAAAACTAGCAATAAGCAGTAGCTTTTAGCTACTGATTAGCAACGTTGCTAAAACCTAATGTTAATAGAACAGTAGCCTAAATCAGCAAAACAGTAGATCAAAGCTAAAATTACCATCACTGTAGCTAAAATCTAAACTTGTTAGGACAGGAGTTCAAAGCTTAAATGAGAAGAACTAGATAAAAGCAACATTTTGCAAACCAGGAACTGGGGCTGTTGCCTCTCAGCGAGAAGGTTGCCAGTTTGAATCCCAACCAGGGGGCCATTCTGGGTGGAATTTACAGGTTCTCTCCGTGCATGTGTGGGTTTTCTCTGGGTACTCTGGTTTCCTCCCACAGACCGAAAACATGCATGTTAGGCTGATTGGTAACTCTCAGTTGTCTGTAGGTGTGAGTGAGAGAGTGGATTGTTGTTTGTCTCGTTTGTCTCTATGTGTCCCTAAGATGGACTGGAGACCTGTCCAGGATGTCCCCCACCTCTCATACAGTGATATGGGCACCAGTGACACCCGTGACCAAAAAAGGAAGAAGCGGGTAAAAATGGATGGATGGATGGATGATGGATGGATGGAGCTAAAACTTGAAATTATTAGGAAAGTAATTAAAGGCTTAAAATAACTGAATAGCAGATAAAAGCTAAAATGAGCAGAAATGTCACCACAAGCTCAGTTTATTAGAATAGTTGTTTAAAATTTAAACCAGCAAAACAGTATATAAAAGCTAAAATGAGCAAATCAGTAGCTAAAAGCTAAAAGTAAAGCATGTTGATGTAGATTTCAAAGAGCACAACATTTCTCTGAAAGAAGCAAAAAGAGTTCTTATTTTAGTATTCATCCATTATCTTTACCCGCTTCTTCCTGATCAGGTCACAGGGGTCACTGGTGTCCATGTCCAGCAGTCAACTGTGTGAAAGGTGGGGGACACCCTGGACAGGTCTCCAGTCCATCACAGGGACACAAAGAGACAAATAACCATTCACTCTCTCACTCACACCTAGGGACAATTTAGAATTACCAATCAGCCTAACATGCATGTTTTTGGTCTGTGGGAGGAAACTGGAGTACCCGGAGAAAACCCACACATGCACAGAGAGAACATGCAAACTCCACCCAGAAAGGCCCCCGGCAGGGATTCGATCTGGCAACCTTCTTGCTGAGAGGCAACAGCTCTACCACTGAGCCACCATGCCACCCTGTGCACGCTTTAGTGTCTAATAAATAAATACTCATTTAAAATGAACAAATGTGTGTGTGTGG